TTGCCGCCTTGGGAAGTGGCAGCTTTACTAGTCATATGAACAAATACTGGAGTACAGCTGAGTTATGAGCCGTTTACACCCCAAAGCAACTGGATTTTACCGCTGCCAGGCACACTTATGGTTATATTCAAAGACCAGGGAGGGGGTAGGCTTTATAGGGAGGCAGCCTAAAGACCACAGAGGCTTTCTTTACCTGTGCTAAATGAATATGAATCTTACCGCTCCAGGAGAAATGGCCTGTTTGTCTAGAAAGCCGTGTCTAGCGATAGGCACGTGGGCAGTGTTCAGCGCCCTGGCACCAGACACGATTCGTGATTGAATGGGGAAGCTAAGCTAAGCTGTTTTGGCCCTTTCGGAAAAATAGGGACCGTCTCTCATAACATTTTTACTTTAAGGGAAGGAAAAAACTTTCATCCCCGCCCCCCATCACACGCACAAAATACAGCCAGAGACTATGTGGCTTCCCAACACTGTTATTAGACACTACTGCAAGCTAGATGTCCAGCTGGAGTAAATGGATGGAAGTCCACGGAGGTGGAATTACATTGTTTTTATAGCTGTCAAGAGCCTGGCTCAAAAGGCTCGAGTCAGATGGTGCTATAGGCTGTTGAGCAAAACTATCCTTGAAAGGCAATGGGGAGTTATACAGGATATAATCAGGCAGGTTTATATCAGCTGTAACTCTTCCAGTAACATGCTGGACTGGTGCAAAAAAGTCATTTTTTTCCTGATCATGCATCCAGTAGGATAGAAAATGCAGTCAGAAGTAGAGTTAACTGGCAATATTGCCACTGAATCCTTTTTTTTTTTACTGAAATTGGCCATTTTCCCCCCTAACTGAAAATTTCCATGACCAAAAAAAAAACAAAAAAATCAAATGAAAGGACAAATTAAGTGCAAAAGTTTTGCATTTAATTCTTTTAGTTTCTTGGATGGAAAAAAAAATGAGCACCCTCAAAACTGGCTCTTCTGAGAGAAATGGTTCCTACAGGAGTTTCCCATCTTTTTTTTCCCCCTTCCCATCTCTCCATTTTCCTACTAGAGAAGGGGTGAGGGGTCTTGAACATAACACCACTTGAACATTTCAGTCTTGTTTGCATCAAAAAAAACTTGGAGGAAATTGTGGGAAATGTAGGAGCAGGGGAAGAGAAGTGCTTCAAACTCTCCCACAACCACTCAGTTGGGATGTTTCAACCACCTAGACCTGGGAGATTTCTTTTCTTCCTGATGGTGATGGGCTACGAGCACCCCAGCGTTTGGGAAAGGGCTAAGGGAAAGCTTAATTGCCTCAGCCCAGCTGTGATGAAGTAGCCGGCTGGAAACAGCTGCTATAAAAGGCTGCAGCCCAGAGTGAAATGTGGTGGGAGGGGAATAGGGTGCAGGTGGAGAAGCAGCAATATGAAGGAGGTGGGGGGAGAGGAGACAAGCAGGGAAAGCAGAGTGCAGTGCAGGGAAGGGAAGGAGCAGTCGGTCTTCTGCTCCTGAATACTGGGTCTTAGGCTGGACCATGGAGGGGGGAGGTTTGGGTTTCCTTAACTCCTCTGCAGATTGAGAAGGGGATCCAGCTGGGTTATAGGCCCTCTAGATTGGGAATGGGATCTTCTCCTGAGAAAAATAAGCCTTTAAAGCAGACACTCATGAGTAGTAAAAAGATTGCTGTAGCCAGGTCTGGCTGCAAGTATGAGCTATGGAGTATAAAGGAGCCCTTTGACAGGGCTCTTAATTGCCTCCAGTATCTGATGATGAGCTAGGTAGGCCGGAGGGGGGGAAAAAAAAAGGGCAATGTCTTTTCAGTGGCATTTCAGTATCTCTCCAGTCTTTTCAGTGGGAGACCGATCCTTCTTGACAATGTTATTTAACTCTTGGCAGCTGGCTTTCTGACGGAGGAGTCCCTAGCCTGTCTTTCTATGGGAAA